GATAACAAAACAAATTAAGCTAGTACCTACTACACAGGGCTAGTGTGACCTTAGAGATACAAATTCAGTCATGATATAATGCTCCTTTGGAGAAGTAAAATTGTGTTGATGAACTATCAACTGTTGTCTAGGATTTTTCTGTCCAGGGTAAAAAATAAAATCCTAGCTTGCAAAGTCTGTAGCCATGTGGCCTTAAATCCTCAGGCTCAAAGAGCCCGCTGCTTTCACAGCAAAAGTGGCAAAACAGACATTAATTGCTAACTATAGAAATATTGCATGGTAAGGTCCAAGTCTCTTCCACAGTGCAGCTCTCATACCACAGTGTGAAAGCCTTGAGAACAGTCTTTGACTAAACTACCCACCATGGGAATCGAACCCTAGTAAACATCAAATATTGCAGGGTGAAGCAACATCACTAACCTCTGAGCCGCAGAGCCACCTGTGTTTGGCACTGGAAATTAATAATTGGTGATATGAGTGTGGCACTTAACTCTTTATGTCCAAGGTAGGCTTTTAATAATTATATATACAAAGACATCAAAACAACATATTGCTAAGATTACTTCCTGGCATCTTTTTCTGTAACTGATCACGTGCATAGTATACAATTAAACAAGAAGAAACAAATAAATAAATCTTTTTAACAAAAGGACATGGCTGCAATCTTGTGATTACCCTGTTAAAACCGGGAGTTATAGTTAGGACTGGTGGACATTCATATTTAACAAAAAAGGATTTCCTTACTTGTTTCTTCTTGATTAATTCTACAGTATGCACCTTACAACAGCAAATATGCCAGGCAAGAAACTGTTAAACGGGTTTGTGTTTTTTTTGTTAGAATTATAAATAAATTAATCTTGCACCAAAACCATTTCTTTTACAAATATATGTATATATTAAAAAACAACAACAGCACAGCCCACAGTAAAATCAATGAGGTAATATTTATAGTCATGAAAACACTGGCTCACAAGGGAAATAATACATCATTCTAGGGTTGCTAATACTATAAAACATCATTCTTAGGTTGCTGGTACTCAATTACCAAACCAAGGCATTATATGTAAACTTTAATTTAGTTCCATAATTCTAAATATGTCATGTACAGTAATACTGAGCTAGTGAAGTAATATCAGTGTCGAAACAATGTCATATATCAGTTATGAAGTAGTATTGCCATAAATCATTCATATTTGTAAGTCATAAAACAGTGTCAGATGTTTATTAATGTCAACAGAATGAAGCAGTAATATAATGCAATCTTCATCAGTCATTTCTCTTCAGCTGATTTGTCATTTATACATCATTTAAATTAACCACAAGGAATCATTATAGCAGTATATCTTTATGTATATCATTCATGGGTCATGAACCCACTCTATACTAATTATGAGTTTTACTTTTTTTCTCCACAATGCTTATATTAGTTTAAAGCCACAATTTATTTGCTTCAGACAACCATTTTAAACAACAACTTAACAGGTGCATGAAGAAAGCGGCAGAAATATAATAAAAATTAGCAGAGAAGACAGAGTCAGTTGATGATTGCCGTGATACTGATATGTCTGTAGATGGAACCTGGATGACCTGTGGACATTCCTCAAAAATAAGGGTAACCACACTCATTGGCTGTGTCACAGAAAAAGTTATTGATACAGGTACACTCTCAAGAGTGCAAATCTTGTGACTACTAGAACACTCAAGCCAAGGATTCAGAGGTTTATAAGTTGTGGAAACAAAATCCAGTCCGAAAAAAACATTTATTAAACCAAGATAAAAAAATATGCTGGTGATATGGTGTTGTGATTATGCATGATTTTAAATGATACTGTATTCTTCAACATTAGGTGTATAGTATCAGTACAATGGACCTTGTTTCCATACATTGACCACCTCTCAAGTTGATCAATTTGCTTGGATGGGAAATTTATAGAGATTCTACTGTTCATTTCCTAACACTGCAGCAAAATAATTACCATCACATATGACATAAAATGAATGAAAATCAAGTAACACATGACTGAGACCATGTAGCTTATTTCCATAAGTTAGTAATCATTCACATTCTATCTACACTACACAGGCTAGAGTTTATATAGTTCTTTTGTCAGTTAAACAACTCAAATAAAACCTTAACATCATTTGTCTATCAAACCCTTATCACAAGATACTCAAATTATATACATTTCAATACTTGGGCGCTTCTTTGAATCGTTCCCCAAAATGGCGGCTTTAATATGATGGCGTTCAAAAGGGAGCTAAATTGGCCAATTTCTGGCCATAAAATATCCAAAAATATCCCGATGCGGGTCAGTTCTATTAAAAATATATGTGCCGGCTAAGGATAACGAAACAAATGGCTCTGACAGGGTCTCGGCAATACGGCGTTACTTGCCGACCTGCGTCTGCGAGTGTGCCTCACCGGCGAGCGTATCCCCCCGCGCCACTACGCGCGGCGCGGATGGGGGCTAAACTAGATGGCTGGGACTCACGAGTGGCAGCTACCGCATCTCCTGCAACTTCCTCCAATTACTGTACTCGCGAGGGCTCTCCTTGCAGATCCGGACGAGGGTTGGATGCGGGCTGGACGACTTAGTTCAGTTTAGTGGGAGTTCTCTCCCTTGGCCGCACTCGAAACAGTGAGTGGAAAAGTCACGCAACAAATGACATACTTACCTATCATCATACGGTTGTGTGTAAGGTTGCGTACGGTTGCGTTTAGGGTTGCGTAGTCATCATACGGTTGCGTGTAGGGTTGCGTAGTCATCACACGGTTGCTTGTATTGTTGCATAGTCATCATACGGTTGCCTGAAGGGTTGCGTAGTCCATCATGCTGTTGCGTGTAGGGCTGCGTAGGGTTTGGGTTAGGGGTGTTGGTTAGGGGTAAGGCTAGGGTTAGCGTTAGGGGTAGGGTTAAGGGTTAGGGGTAGGGTTAGGGGTTAGGTTTAGCGTTAGGTTTAGCGTTAGATGTGACAATTTTGACGACGCAGGAATTCCCAATAATCGCGCACTGTCACATACACACGCAAAAAGTCGACAGACTGTGGATGCTACTGACACGGACACGTCGCCACCGGTTGGGCACCAGCTGCGCGCTATTGCGGTCATATTTGACAGACTTCCAGTGGCGCCACTCCCACAAGCATCAGATTGTCGGCCAGTATTTGGAACTCCTACGTCAAAATTGTCACATCTAACCCTACCCCTAACCCTAACCCTACCCCTAACCCTAAACCCTAACCCTTGCCCTAAACCCTAACCCTAACCCCGAATCCACACCGTACGCAGCCCTACACGCAACCGTATGATTATAGGTATAACCCTACACGCAGCCGTATGATGACTAGGCAACCCTTCGCGCAACCGTATGATGACTACGCAACCCTAACAGCAACCGTACGCAACCTTACACGCAACCGTATGATGATAGGTAAGTATGTACGCTCGAAATTGTGCAAATGTTGATATTGATTGTCAAGCAATCCTAGATTTGCCGCGATTTGTTCCTTGGCAGATAATCCGTATTTTAGATATACGCGAACACCGTCGTTCGGATATTTTTTGATATTTTATGGCCAGAATGTGGCATGCTGCCATTTTGGGGAACTAATCAAAGAAGCGCCAATACTTGTCAAGCTATGAATGTTAGGCCAGGCTGGCTGCCATCTCCAAAAAAAAGGTCAGCCGACTGCAGTTCTACCATTTTTTGCTCCCCTTCATTATGGTACAATCAGAAAACCTCTTGCAAGTAAACAGTTGACATCATATTCCAGTTTCATCTGTGGTTTTCCTGTTGTACATTTACCTCCCACATTTCCTCAAGACTGGTCTTTAGCATGATGTTTTGTGTGTGCCCAAATTGTTTTATTTTTTAAGCCTTGATCTAGGTGGGTGGGGGGGGGGGGGGGGGGGGGGGGGGGGGGGGGGGGGGGGGGGGGGGGGGGGGGGGGGGGGGGGAGCTGTTGTGGTTTTTCTAGGCAAGGTTTTGTTTAAGTTTGCCATTGCTTTCTGGATGGTCAGCTCTCGATACCACTGTCAAAACCAAAGCTGCCTTATTTGCTCACAGCTGGGATCAAACTCGGCACTATGAAGTGCAACGCCTAAGCCACAGACGCCGACTTGATGTTCAACTTTTTTAATTGCATTTCTAAAGCATTATACTTTACTTCTAAAGCAGTGGTTCTTAACCTGTGGGTTGTGACCTTTTGGGGGTGGAACAACCCTTTCACAGGGGTCAACTAAGACCATTGTAAAACAAATATTCATTCAAGTTATGAAGTAACAATGAAAATTATTTCATGGTTGGGGGTCACCACAACATAGGGAACTTGATTAAAGGGTGGCAGCATTAGGAAGGTTGAGAACCCCTGTTCTAACACTTGGTAATAGTCTGTTACTCAATGGAAAAGGAATGATAGTTTCCTATAATATTTCAGATACTACAGTGTACAGCTAGAGACATTCATATTATCTTCTTGTTTCCTGTTTCACATCTGATACTGTCTGTTATCATGTGGCCAGGATGGAAAAATGTTGACATTTTGAAGTCTTCAAAATCATTTATATTTGAAATTCAGTTTTATAAACTGGCTCACAATTCATTAAAGCTTTTTTATTCCTTGTATTTATATTTAGTTCACATTATTAACTTCTGTTGTTTACCAGTTTAACTCATTCCCGGGGCTTTAACATACAAGACCTTCACATAATTTAATGTCAAAAAACAATAACCTAATTTGTCTGTTATTAAGACAGCAAGATAGGAGGCACCACTGCTATTTTCAGATCTTCTAGTTTATGCATTTTTAATTTGATTGTTTTAAGAAAAACTGATTTGCCAGCTATTATAGTTTTTGTCTGCTTTATATCTGCATTCGGTTCACGTTCATAACTAATTTTATTTTATGTTAAACTCATTCTTGAGGCTATTACTTACAAGACCATCACACAATTCTGCATAAAAGTAAACTGATTCTATCATGTGTTTTAGTAGCCTTCACTAGCTTTTGAAGTCTTGTTTCAGTTTGGCAACAATGGTTTTGTGTGTTTCAAACAGCTCATTTATCCTGGAGCCTAAATGCTCCTCAAGTCGGATCAGTTCTCTGCTTTCTTGCTCTTTTGATGTTCTTGTATCCAAGAGTTGTCTCTGATAGTCTTGAAGTCTCTTACTCAGAGAGTGGTTCTCTTCCTCAAGCAGCTAGAACAATAATTTCAAACACAGTATTGTGAGATTTATAATAATTACACTATGGCAATAAATTCAATAACACAATACAGAAATCCATATTTTTATCTAAAGCAATGAAGCTCTCATTTGATTATGGTATACTTGTTCACTAATTAATAAGGAGCCAACTTAGCTAGAACTTTACATAGTTAGTTACTGTGCTAGCATGTAGTGCCCAGGCATCTGCTATACCTGCCATACCCTGGGTATGTCACTGGTATGCTCTCTTACCTGCCATACCCTGGGTATGTCACTGGTATGCTCTCTCCTCTTGTATTTACTTTATACACAGACAGAATATCAAAAGAAGCCAGCTTTGAAGCAGTCGACCCAGAAAATCCATAAAATAACACACTTTACTTTCCAGAGGACAAAATTAGGTCTACACATAATTAACGAGCTACTATTTGCAGACGATCAGTACCTGTTTTTTTAAATGAGGACAACCGATCATCATCATGTGTTAATGCTTTTAAGGTTTACAATCAGAGGTCTCCATCTCTAATATTTTTTCTTAGGAGTCCACTGTATCACAGTATCTAGTACACCCACCCATCATATCATCCTGTCGTGTGTTCAGATACCCGTTCAAAAACACATCCTGTCGTGTGTTCAGATACCCGTTCAAAAACACATCCTGTCGCGTGTTCAGATACCCATTCAAAAACACATCCTGTCGTGTGTTCAGATACCCGTTCAAAAACACATCCTGTCGTGTGTTCAGATACCCATTCAAAAACACATCCTGTCGTGTGTTCAGATACCCGTTCAAAAACACATCCTGTCGTGTGTTCAGATACCCGTTCAAAAACAATGTAAACATGATATTAACCATTAGGTTGAACCTGAAATGGATATTAAGAAACATTCTGGGAGGTTCAGGAAGTCAGTCAAGTAAGTACAGGATCTCTTTTCTAAATGCAACTGGCACGTCAAACATATGATGCTAAACTAATATTTTTTGTAGACTAATCAGCTCTTGGTGGGTGATGTAATCAACATCATAACTTCCACTTTTGCTTCCTGAACATTACCAGGTAACCATTTTAGGCTGGGTCACCCAGCAGCAAAGGTTAATTAAAAAAAAATGCTTATCAAAGAGGATTCAAATTCAAGATGTTCTAGCTGGCTGGCAAGCGTCTATCCACTATCTACCATGGCTCCCAGATGTGAAGTAAATGATAGAAAAATGTTATATAACACATGTGGTCACCTGTATGCGGGATTGTAACATTGCACTTGGACCATCTCTTGCTTTTAGCTCCTGAATATCACTATTCAGTCTTCTGATTTCCTGAAATAGTGAATTTTCCTTTATAAAATGTCAGAAGATAATTCATTTCCTTTTATCCACAACTTATCAACACTAACAACAAATATCATCTTTCCTCTCCCTTCCCACTGAAAGTTGGCTGTAATGAGTCTAATAAAACATGTAAGTTGGGAATTCTATCACACTTATACAGGTTTCTTGTCTATTTGTTCATGTTGATCATGTCCTGTTATCTTTCTCATGCATAATTTCCCTCCACGTGTCCTTCCATTTTTTTTCTTCCTGAAAATCCTTTAACAAGAAGCTATATATTCTTAAATGGCCAGAGTATATCAACTGTTTATGTCTGATTATTACCTCAGTCAGTAACATTATCCCTAATCCCACTGTCTGTGATACTATTAGGTTTGCGTTTCTCATCTGCCATGACATTCTTCCTATTTGTTTATAAAACCACATTAAAAAAATATGTTCACATTTTTACAGTCAGGAGACAACTTTTTTTTAAAATCAGGAGATAACACAGAAACAATTTTATATAGGTAATTATTGTGCTTGTATGAAGCGCTTATGCATCTGCTTAAACCTGCCATATCCAGGGGACATCACTGTGATGCTGTCCCCTCTTTTATTTACTATACATATAGGCAAAATATCAAAAGAAGCTAGCTTCAAAGCAGTCAACTCAGAAAATCCAGAAAATGACAAACTTTACTTTCCAGAAGAAGAATTAGGTCCATACACAATAAACAAGCTACTATTTGCAGATGATCAGTGCCTGTTCTAAAGTGAAGGCCAAAAGGCCAAACAGACTGTAGGACCAAGTTCAATATGCAGAAGACATAACATGAAAGTAACCACAACTAAAACTGAAGTAACGCAGGTCAGTAGAATACACAGTCAGCTACATACAGGGTTGAATGGTACCTTTCACACTCTGTTCCTTCTCCCAAAGCTTAATAACAGAAGTGAAAATTGATGATGATTATGACTTTGGAGAGGTGATGGCAGTAACATAAACAAATGAACTGGCTAGAGACAGATTTTTTCCCTATGTGTGCTTTATGATCTCTTGAAAACATTTAAAGAAGTTCGAGACAGGATGGGTTTGAAGACAATCCTTGGAGTCTCTGAGCAAATCTTATCTGATAGGAATCAGTTTCATTTTTGTGCCAGAACACCATGGAGTAAGAAGGAATGAATGAGCAGATTGGCTTGCTGGCAGGGCCATGATAGGTACAGGAAAAGCAATGGACCAGGTTATTGTTCTCGGTGCTCTCAAGGAGGCAGGACTAGTAGCTGATTCAGCAGAAGAGGGTGAATCGGCAACCTTGACAAACTACAAGAATTTCATGTAAAAAGAGGTGTCCCCAGACATGAACACTATACAAGTAGCCAAAGAAGAATAGTATACCAACAAAGGACTAGTGATATCAGTCCCCACAAGCTGGGGAGATACTGAAGATGGAATTTGCATGCTAATGATTATGTCTGATGAGAATGGTCGGTGGATTAACTTACACGCTATATAATAAAACAGATTAACTAACATACTATATAATAAAACAGAGTGAATATAACCATTGGCTCTAAGTTTGTACTTGGCTGTTTAGGACTGTTCAGCCTTATTTCATTTTTAGTCTTTATTTTAAAAAGCTTTTTTCATTATTTTATTTTTTCATATTTTTTTTAAAAACAGAACCTATAACCTTTTCTACCCTTATTCTAAAGCTGAAGTGCCGCTGACCATATCACTCACAGCATGCCACTGACCATAGCACTCACAGAGTGCCACTGACCATTTCACTCACAGAGTGCCACTAACCATAGCACTCACAGAGTGCCACAGACCATATCACTCACAGAGTGCCACTGACCAAATCACTCACACAGTGCCACTGACCATATCACTCACAAAGTGCCACTGACCATATGACTCACAGAGTGCCACTGACCATTTCACTCACAGAGTGCCATTGACCATTTTACTCACAGAGTGCCACTGACCATATCACTCACAGAGTGCCATTGACCATTTCACTCACAGAGTGCTGCAGACCATAGCACTCACAGAGTGCCACTGACCATATCACTCACAGAGTGCCACTGACCAAATCACTCACAGTGCCACTGACCATTTCACTCACAGAGTGCCGCGGACCATATCACTCACAGAGTGCCACTGACCAAATCACTCACAGAGTACCACTGACCAAATCACTCACAGAGTGCCACTGACCAAATCACTCACAGAGTGCCACTGACCAAATCACTCACAGAGTGCCGCGGACCATATCACTCACAGAGTGCCGCGGACCATATCACTCACAGAGTACCATTGACCATATCACTCACAGAGTGCCGCGGACCATATCACTCACAGAGTGCCACTGACCATATCACTCACAGAGTGCCGCGGACCATATCACTCACAGAGTGCCACTGACCATATCACTCACAGAGTGCCGCGGACCCATATCACTCACAGAGTGCCGCGGACCATATCACTCACAGAGTACCATTGACCATATCACTGACAGAGTGCCGCAGACCATATCACTCACAGAGTGCCACTGACCATATCACTGACAGAGTGCCGCGGACCATATCACTCACAGAGTACCATTGACCATTTCACTCCCAGAGTGCGGCGCACCATATCACTCACAGAGTGCCGATTAGCCTTCAAAAAAGTGAGTTTAGCATCATATACCAGAGGCACTACCTGCATAAACTTCACTTCACTTATTTACAACCTTTATTCTATTATAAACCATGTGTGTGCTAATTGCTCTCATGTAATCTGCCAAACACAAAAATGATACGTATTTATCCAGCAAACTTTGACAGTTGGCTCTTGCATAAATATACATTGATCAAATACAAAGAAAATTACTTTAAAGCTCTTGTATAGCTAATGTCTTCTGCTTGCAATAAAATGCCCTAAATTTTGAGAGAAGCTTTAAAGACAGGATACTTTTCAACTCTGAATATACCTCAGTGGCTAAATGTCACTCCAAATTTACCAAACCCTATTTGGGATGGCTCTAGCAATTGAGACAATACAAGAACAGATTTAGTAAAATATTTCATTTGTTTTTCAATCCACATTTTCTGACAATATTTTGGCTGATATGGAATGGAGTGTTTAACTGTAAATTAATGGAATGCTACAAGCTCTATCCCTTGAAGTCGGAGGACATCTGCATGAGAGGCAGGGAACAAGAACGACACATAAATAAGCCAGTAAAAAGAATGTACATGCAAAACTTAGGTCCTTGTAGAAGGTCAAAGTCCAAATGGATGAACAACAAGCACCTTCAACCAGAATTGCATACTAGTGATCTCCTTGTGAGATGCAATTTTTTTGTTATTTTGAAGCCCTACCAGGGCTCTTGCCATGGGGCCGCAATATAGCCCGGCCATAAATATGGTCTAATGGCTGAACGCGGTTTCATGGGCCCTCTCCACGGATGATCTGCATCCACATAGCGGCACTAAGTGTCTTCGGGTGTTTATTCCTTGTGTGATGTCCTGGTGGGGTAGAAAGTCAGTCAGTCAGTAAACCAGAATTCACAGCCAAAGAAGAAGAAAGAGCTCTAAACTACTACTGTAGCCTGACATTTATTCTCACTGACGAGTTCGTAAATAAAAATATAGGTTTTCAGTATGTACATTATGTAAGTAAAGTAAAGATCCCTTTTCACGCCTTTCGGCGCATCGGGCATATGGGCAGAGCGTCCCATATTTTTACAGACCATCAGCATTCTGTGGGTAATGTGGTCAGCATTACGCCAGGCTGTCTTTACTTTCCCAGGACAGCCCATCCTGGTACCCATTTTAGGCTGGGTCGACCCATTACATTATGAGTTAAAGAATTCAAGTTACCTCTTGTTTGTTGTAATTATCCAGACGGAGTCTTTCAATCTGATCAGTCAGTTGTGATACCAAGAGTGGATCACTGCCACCACCACTGCCTTTATCTTGATCCAGCAACTGAAGGTAATTTCACTCAAGTAAAAACTAACATCATTTAAAACACGAATAATGTTCAACTTACATAAATATGGTAAAACTTAAAGGCTAAGAGGTCTCTGGCTAACGGGGCTCTGGCTCGCCATGTGTGTTGGGCTCCATCTAGTTAAATACTTTTTTAATTTGTGAAAGGCTTAGCAAGTCAGGAGTGGATAAAATTTTTACCCAGTGAAGCAATAAGAAAAAAGTGATGGCTAGATGGAATATCTGAGGTCATAAATACCAGCATCTTTACAGCACTGCCAAGGCTAGCATCTAATGCCTATTCAAAATCTGATGCTGAAAAGCAGAAAATGACCAGAGAAGAAGCAGAAGAAGAAGTAAAGGATCGTTTCACACTTTGAGGTGCATCAGGGATATGACGCCAGCTACACATTAATATACACAATCAACACTCTAATAGTTATAACATATTTTGTAGTCTTTCACGATCAAATCAATATGACAACTTTTAACTGTCTTACAAAACACAATTTGCCAGGAAGTGTTTTCATACCTATGTGGGTGCTATAATATAATCAAAATTAGAGGTCCCTAAATCTGACTGAATCAGAACTGTTAACAATAAATTCGATTTTGTGTGCTTTGCATCATAAAAAATTTAATATTCTTTTTTGCTATATCATCATCATCATCATCAGTTCCTAGTGGCTACATAACAGATGATAAAAGATACATGAAAAAATATTGTTTTCAAAAGCAATTACCCCAGCACTGATTGTAAACATCTTTTGTATTTAATACATTACTATAAATCACGTGGTACTTTTGGTAAATATTATTTTCTTGTTTTCCTCGCCCAGTCTAAAAAAACTGCTTTGTGCTAGTATTCAGCAGAGATGTAATAAGTACACTTTTCAGGAGACACTTACAGTTTCAGCAGTGTGTTATGGAACTAAATATGCCATTCCTCATCAGTCCCTATTTCTTGCAGTGATGCAGACTAATTCCAAGATGACTATCTGGAGATGTAGTCAAGCTATGAGTTGCTGACTGCATTCAACATTTTTGTCATGCCTTCACGTCTTCAGACCCAGACCGATCAAACACATTTACACAGCACAATTGAGATAATACAGATAATATATCAGATAATATATTGTGTAATATTTATAACCACTTTCTGTATACCTTCTTTTTCAGCTTCAAATTCTCTTCTTTAAATGCTGCCAGTTGCTTCTTCCACTCATCCACATTGGCAGTACTCTCCTGCAGGGCTGCCGTCAACCTGGTATTATTGCTCTTCAATGTCTGCAGCTCGATTTCCCATTTCTTTGCATTTGCTGAGCTGTGCAAAAGTTACAAATCACAGAAATTGCTAGGTACTACAATTTATAATATATATATTTTTTAAACAAAATAAACTGTCTAAGAGCAAATGTAACAAACAAGCAATTTTTCAAAGGGTTAAGAATCTGTTAATATATGGAGGAGTCTCTAAGGACATCCTTTATGGTGAATTACAAACAGGAAGAAGATGTCGAGGCTGACCTATACTACGGTATAAAGATGTGTGCAAGTGGGACATGAATGATACAGGTATTGAGGTGGACTCATTGGAACAAAATGCCATGGACTGTGTTGTGTAAAGGACATATCAGGTAGGGAATAAGAGTGAAGGAAGAAATGATTGCAGAAAGGATGAGAACTGAGTGTCTGAAAATAAACGGATTGAACACAAATGTTGACAACAATAGTCCTGAAATCCCATGCAATATAACACTATCGTCTGGAATGACGGAAAGGTGCCAATCAATCAAGAATCTGGCACACATCTAACTTTCTGCTCTTTATCTCTCATCTTTCATACATTCTAGTACTTTCACAATAATTCTGAGTTACAGTTTCAATGAGATGTCTTAGAAGGGCTGCAGGAGTGACCAGAAGAGAAAAAGTCTGAAATGAGGTCATAACAGACAAAGTCGGTTCAGAACCAATCTTAAATTACGTAAAAAGACAGGAAATAAAATGGTTTGCCCTCTTAAAAAAAAGACCTTGTGACACCATACCGTACAAGGCATTAAAAAAAAAAAGAGGAGAAGGATGTGGAGCACAAGGTAGACCAAGAACATGATGGAAAGAGAAACTGTAAAACAGCATATGTCTATTGTTGAGGTGGCCAGAAGTGCAAGATGATGAACCTTATATCTCCTTCAACACCTGTAGTGGTAAAAGATGAAGTAAAGATGAAGAAAAAGAAGTACACTGTTTAAAAATCACTGTAATAAAATAAGTATTGTGCACACAAAAAATAGTTGACAGATCATTCTCACTGCACATCAAACTATTTAGTCCATAATTGCTCAGATCCCCTCCTCAGCAAATCCCACTCTGCGTAGCAACTTACAACATCAGTACTGTGTTAGTTTTTAAAATCTTCTTTGGTTTCCATCATAAATAAAGAATGCCCATGTACTTCTAGGGTTTATAAGTGAAAAAAAAAATGCCAGTGTTGCCTATCATGCTTGTAAAGTATGTGTGTGTTTGCTACTTAGCTTGGTTAGCATAAACTTCTCAAACCTACTGTACTATTTCAGTTACTAGATAGACAGCCTGTCCATATTTCATATCTGTGAGTTTAGGCAGATTAGGCTAATGAAGACACATATTTTCAGGGTGTCTGGCTGGCTGTGCATCAGTACAATTGTGCTCTGGATGGCAGCATTTTAAGGTGCAAGTTTAAATTCTTGTGTGCTCTCTACAGCAACTACAGTTGTGTAATATTTAGTATCCTCACTAATTCTTGTCTTTACTTATGTGAATACCAGTGATTATCTGTAAATTTAATTACCATGCTATTTCCTCTTCTTCTTCTTTGTCTTCATCATCGTCTTCTTCATCATCATCTTCTTTTTAAACTCCATCATTGTCATCTTCTTCCTTCCTTCCTTCTTTCCTTCATCCTTCCTTCTTTATTCCCTTCCTCCTCCTTCTTCTTCCTCCTCCCTTCTTTCTTCTTCCTTCTTTCTTCTTATTTCTTTCTTCTTCTTCCTTCTTACTATCTTCCTTCTTCTTCTTCCTCCTCCTCCTTCTTCTTCCTCCTCCTGCTTCTTCTTCTTCTTCTTCTTCTTCTTCTTCTTTCTTTCTTTCTTTTCCTCCTCCTCCTCCTCCTTCTTCTTCTTCTTCTTCTTTTTCTTCTTCTTCTTCTTGTTCCCATTGACCAGATGTAAACTCCAGCAGAAAGTTCTGGTTGTTCATCCACTTCTGAACTTTGTGATCTTGTACCAGGACTTGAGTTTTGTGTGCACACCTATTTTACACATCTAGCACATTTGTGTGTAGACTGTTGGTTCTTCATCTATCAGGCGGTAGCACTCTGAAACATCCATCCTATCTAAGTTTGCCAGGAACCTTGGTTGGGAACCTCTTTCTAAGATGAGTGTGGGGGGAAAAGTGAACATAGGTCTTGATCAGAATGACATCTGGCACAACTGCTCATCCACAACACCTTGGATGCTGTTTCAGTGGTCTAATGTTCCCTAAAAAATTATTACATCATTTGAATACCTTTGTGCCAGTGCTAGTTTTAAGCGGTCATTCTCATACTTGAGATGTGCCTCTGATGAATTGCTGGATGGACCATTATTACCACCGTGTGTGAAAGAGTTCCTGCGCTCTCGAATTCCACTTGCTTCATTCTGCAAAAGAGATAGTCATCTTCATTCTACACATTTCACTCTCATTTACTGACATTTCACAAATTAGCTGCTAAAAGTATTATTTTTATATTCACAAAGAGAGCCATGGTAGTGTAGAGGCTAGATACTTGTCTGCCAGCCTAAAGGTTTTGAATTCAAATCTGCATTAAGTCAGATTTTTTTTTTAAACTGACCTCGGCTCCCAAGCTGACTTAGTTTAAAGGTATTGAGAAGAAAATAATGATAATGTTACCCACCATGCTTGTGAAGTATATATGTATTTGCTATTTGATCTATGCTTGGTTAGCATATTTTTCTCAAACCTATGGTGCTATGTCACGAATTAAATACCAATCTTGTTCATGTTCATAGTGGTGAATTTAGGTGGATGATAGATTTCTTTAATGAATACACCTATTTTCAGGGTTTCTAACTGGCTGTGCATTGGGAGTATAATGTGTCTGTGATAATGTGAAGCTAACAGGTTCTATTTTTTGTTTGTTTGAGAACACGACACACACACACACACACACATCGTGATTGTAACTGACTCAGAAAGCATGCTGATAAAGGTCAAGACAGGCATGATTGGTGCAAAGAGTCAAGCTTTACTGCGGAGGACATGGGAGAGGAGTATTGTCTGGATTTTTTCACCGGGACAGGCCGGTGAATTGGGAAAAGAACAGACTGGTTGGCTCTGCACAACTTGGTGGAATACTGATGCGTAATAAGGCAGATGTTGTTAGTGCCTTGTGGGAGAGCCTGTACAGTTCGGAGATCCAGATGGATCACCACAGTCTGGTGAGATTGATGCAGGGGGGAGTGACGAGAGGTTCTGGCAGATGCTCGAGGCTCAGAGGAAAAGCAATCAGAATGGTACTGGCACCATTAGTATCGGAACTCTTCACTGGCTGCTGAAGATGGGGACTGAGCGCTTATGGGAATGCCCTGAGTGCTGTAATGTCTGTTCTTGATCAACTCAACTCATCTCATTTTTTTATTTGGATTTCATACATTTTTATGATACCCTTCCCCAAACACACCAACATTATATAGTAAACATCATAAAGACAGAATAAAGTATACATGAAATAACATCCAATGTCAGATAGGAAGATATCACCTGTATAGAAGAAAGACTGCCAGTTCGTTGATGTAGTGACTGCCTTGAAGCTTGTGGTGATGTAATATGACCATCGACAACACCATTCACTTCTACATGTTTATGCTGGGTGGCTTCACGAGTTAGCTCTTTTATTTCTTTAAATTTTTCGATAAACTGAAACACACACAAGAAGATCAATCCTAATGGTATCATTAAAGACAAATTAATCTTTTCTCTAATGATAACAAAATATCATTATCATCAAGTGTTTTGCCCAGTTGTGGTGCAATCATTTTAGAGCTTTCTGTCTTTCCAGATGACAGTGTTATATTGCGCTACAGGGAGGCATGAGACTCACATCCCATGGTTATGGCGAGTGGGACTAGAAAGACTGTCTGTGTTAAAAAATGTCTTCCACAGTTAGAGTATAGGATTTTCAGGATCGATTTTGCTGTCATATGTCGTTAGTGTGTGCCTTCTCATGCACTCAGCTCCCAGTCCTTCTGCAGTCATTTTCCCTCTATTCCCTTCCTGTCTGAAGGTGTGGGAAAGGGTCCTGAACATTTTACTTCCTGATTTCACCCCTCTACTCAGCAAGGTCCATGTCATTTTGTACCTACCAATCCACCTCAATACCTGCAATGCGCTGCTTCCATAAACGCTGACTCGTTGTCTAAGAGATGATATGTGTAGTGAATGCTCTTAGCTCACATTGTACGATGACATAACTGGGATAAGCCGACACCGACTTAGCAGTACGATACATCAGTTTATCTCAACACTCACATGAACATCCAGTCCTTGTCCTAAGAAACAGCTTTCACACACCACATTATGCAGACTTCAACATGCTGGTTTCTCACACAGTTACTGACCAGAGTTTGCACAGACGTATCTGGCTCTTCTCCTCGACATCATACAGACTGGCCTGGCTGGTCTTGGTTTCAAATGGATGTCAACGTCTGGTTTTCCTTTCACATCAATCAATCTCACGTTGGCCTTCTCTCAATCAATCTCCCGTCCTTTCGCTCTGACAGTTCAACACATACTAACTTGATCAGACTAGGGTTTGATTCTATACTCTGTATTAGTTTCACGTGGCAACACGTGGTAGTCCTTTACTTCCACATTGGCGACCTGTGGTCGCAATCATTGTGTTACACATGATAACTCGTGGTCATCGCCCATCTCGAAAACCTCGGTTAATCTGAGTATCTGGCTTCTCTGGGTATTATTGTTTGGGGCTTTCCCCCCAACCTTTCCAATCAGGGTGAAAATATCCCTCATTTATTAGTCATGTCTCACTTGCACACATCATTGTATGCACAATCACACTTCTCCACATACTGATATTTCCAACAGCATGTATCAGTTAATGTGTTGATAACTTCCATTTTAGGAGGTCAGTTTTTGCACATTTTAGTCATGTCAGTCACTGTGGGGTATCTGATGTGTAAAATTAAATTATCAAATCTTGCTCACTGTAGGAAAGATCCAACAAGACTCTTATGAGTAGAATTATTTTCAACATCAGATGTGATACCTATTTCACAAGCTATAAGATACTATCAGCTGTACAGTTAAACAGACTGGAACCTTACACATAAGATAAGTGATTAACAGGCAGGTTTTGTACAGAACAGATCAACAATTGATGAGACATTTATCTTAAGAAAATCAGCAGAGAAAGCTGGGAATAGAGAAGATATATAAATAATGTTTCTGTGGATTTTGAAAAAGCATATTTAAAAATACATCTGACAGGGTACACAGAAACAGCCTGTAGAATGCTTTGCAGGACTTTGGAATGCTAAAGAAGTCTTACAGTGAATCTTTGGTCCCACCAAAGATGTAAACAGCAGGAATTTGAGAATAAGAAACAATGAAATTCAAAATCTGTTTAAATTACCACTGACTACTAGCATCATGAGAACTAACTGACTGAAATGGCTGGGGCATATAAAGAGAATGGCAGATGACAGAGAGACAAAAACTGTGTACGCAAGACAGCTGGATGGTGGTAGACCATGAAGCTGACCAGACAGTGAAGAGACAATATCCAAGCAGACCTACAAACACCTGGCGTTACTAGCTGGAAAGAGATAGCAACCACAGAGATAAATGGAGGCGGGTGATGTCTGCAGCAATGAACCTCAGGAGCTTGGAATGCTGAAGAGGATGTGATGTCTATTGCCATGCAGTCTCAAAACCCAAAACATTTGTTCTTAAATATATAAATTTTCATTTTATTATTATATTCTTTTCATTCTTCTTTCTCCAGTCACCCACTTGTTACAGTACTTTTTTATCGTCATTCTTTCTTTCTTTCTTTCTTTACTATTTTCCCTCCTCCTGACTTTTACGTGCCTAAAATGCTCCCACTATAAATTTATTTGGTCTGTGCGATTATTTTGTATCCAATTACTATTTCTCTCATGAGAGTTACCTTTGTTAGTTCTTGCTCAGAAGAAAAACCCAGACCATAAACAGTATTTGCTCGAAGATCTGACCACTGGCCAAACTTTTGTGATGTTTTGGTAAACGTCATATTAGGTGTGACTGTACTATTGACAACAGCCTGAAAACATACAACAAATTAAAAGTATTAACTGTTTATTAGTTCTAAAAAGTTTGTATTTCTTGAACAAAAATGATCATAAACGAAGGTTCTAGAGACAGTGGGAAAGAAAAGGGAGCCTTTTAAAGAAAGAATTTTAAGTGACAAGTTTGTATATTTTGCCTCATTTAACTCTTTCAGTCCTACAATGTTCTAGTTAAAGGGGGAAGGTGAAAATGTACATATACAAGACAAAAAGATATTTTGGCCAGAGTCTTTCTCAACATAAACCACAACAATGGCAACAAAAGGTAAAATATGTATATGTATGTTATTCACCTTCCTCCTTTCGTGAAGCTTCTCACTCAGAGTTCAGTGGATTTATTTCTTGTAATTAGCTTGACTGCAAATAGATCATTACAGTCTGAGGAGAATGGAGCTGCAGGAAGTTACCAGGGGTTCTGGTCGGCACTCAACACTCAAGGGAAAGGCGAGACGGATTGGAATTCTTTGTTAGCTGCTGAAGATAGGGACGGAGCACTTATGGATGTGTCCTGAGTGCTACGATGTCGATTCTAAATTCAACATTTAACATAGCTTGACTGCAGTCACCTATATTTTCCTTACTTTAGGAATCACTGACAGTCGACAGATTAGTAGGAAATTTATTGGAGACTAGAGAACTGGCCCATGACATTGCAACCAGGCAACTATATACTACAGAACAGAGATGGGCAATGTATGGCCTGCATCCCAAATAAAGCTTGCAAAATTACTTGGTCTAGCTTATCTGCCATCGGGTCCCCACTGGCTCTGTGGTAGATGACTTCACCGGTCAAGTCAGTATTTGGATCTGTCTCCATTGATCGCATAAACACTGCAGGAGTCCTTTCCATATCCCTTGATGGTGTTCAATGTTAAGGCATTTTATATGGTGCACATAACCTAGTCACAATTATAACCTACAGCTCCACTTTGGGCATGCTGGTTGAACAAAAAAATGTATTTATTTTCAGCAAAGCACCACCACTTGGTCTAGTTCTGCCAAGGTGATCACAAATCAATATTTGACCAGCTATAGAAAGAACATTTCTATTTGATAATTTTATGTGGCTGGCGAATGATGTTATAAATATGCAAACAACCCTTGGTGGACACACGATTTCCCTTGCTTCGGAAACAAGAGAGAGAGAGAGAGAGAGAGAGAGAGAGAGAGAGAGAGAGAGAGAGAGAGAGAGATAGCGCGAGCGAGAGAGAGAAAGAGACGCACTCATGCACACACACACACACACACACACACACACACACACACACACACACGCACAAACCAGTGAGGACTAATAAAAACAGTCGGAGATTTTCTTTAAAAATCAGCTTTTTTCGAAGAACTAATTAACTCGAAGATGAGAATGTTATCCTCTGGGAAAGAAAAAAAAAAGATAAGAAACAAACATGGCTGGAAAATGTTTACAATGAAGAAATGACACTGATTTATTTAAAAAAAAAAAAAAAAAGACATTAGCATCCTACACACAATTTTTTCTGAAAACAGCCACTATTTAAAAAATTATTATAACATGCACACAGTGGAAAGAATCAATGTTTAATCATCCAATTAGTTCCTCTGAGATGAACTATCTCCCCCACAAACCATTAAATTATGAGTACAAATTACTTATTTTTCTCCACTATGTTCAGCTTAGCACTGTACTAGAAGATTTCTGTACTTGATAATAAACAATACTTTGCAGGAGAAGTTTCCACCGTGTGGGTGTAATCTCATTTTACCTTCGACCCATCAACACTGATGATTCTGTAGGTGTTTCTGGCGCTGTCATAGTAGAACGAGACACTGACAGAGCTCTTGCTGGCCGGAATCCAATCCTTTCTTGTGTTTGCGTCTATTTGAAATACATGGGCTTTAGTGGTGAATATAGGCTGTTCCCTGGTGACAGAAACAATATTAAGTTAATATTCAGTAATTTCTAACTCAACAATCTGCAAAACTGCAGATATAGCGTTGATCGATTTGTTAGTCTCGATATTCTGTTGAAAACATGCTGCTCCTTAAGCAATTAATTCCAGCTTATATTTAATTATTTGCAAAAAAATTCACATATACTCAATGGCGTTTATAGATCTAAATAAAGGAAAGAAATTAAGTTTCAGGAAGGGGTGTCACATGAGGGGATGTAACCAGTCGGTTAACTTAAGCCAGGATTATTCAATTAAGATTAATCAGGGCCCAAAAATTTGAGAATGGGGATCGTTACGGGCCAGAAGCCCAAACCTCAATATAGAAAGAACACTAATACAATTAGCAATGATACGCGGGTGATCTGCTAGGGACATTTGTTAGGTGTCGGCGAGACATTTGCTAGGTGTCGGCGAGACATTTGCTAGGTGTCGGCGAGACATTTGCTAGGTGTCGGCGAGACATTTGCTAGGTGTCGGCGAGACGTTTGCTAGGTGTCGGCGAGACGTTTGCTCGGTGTCGGCGAGACGTTTGCTCGGTGTCGGCGAGAGATTTGCTAGGTGTCGGCGAGACGTTTGTAGGACATTTGCTAGGTGTCGGCGAGACGTTTGCTAGGTGTCGGCGAGACGTTTGCTAGGTGTCGGCGAGACGTTTGCTAGGCGTCGGCGAAACATTTGCTAGGCGTCGGCGGAACATTTGCTTGGCGTCGGCGGAACATTTGCTAGGCGTCGGCGGAACATTTGCTAGGCGTCGGCGGAACATTTGCTAGGCGTTTGTAGGACATTTGCTAGGCGTTTGTAGGACATTTGCTAGGCGTCGGCGGGACATATTTGGCCGGCGGGACATATTTGGCCCGCGGGCCGACTGTTGAATAGCCCCGCCTTAGGACATTTGCTGGAAGAAACGAAACATCTATATGTCCCGAGTGCTTTGATAAAGATTTTTTTTTAAAATCAACAAAGAAGATGCTGTCGTAACCATCACTTTGTTGTGCCGTTTATATAACAATTAGAGGGGTTTCAGTCGATTCTTCCATGTATCTTGTGTAATTATTTCAAAAAAGTGTATGAGATCCAGTCTAGCACCTCTGACCTCTTTCATCAATGTTCGTTACAGAGTATCTCTTGAACGTCATCATTTCTTTGATTCATTTGCTTTATAATTCGGTGCCTGCAAGTTCAGATATACTTAAAAGTTAAACCCCGTGTTGGTTCCGGGGCTCTATTAAAGGAAAAAACAAGAATAGGCCAACTGCCTGCCCCAAAGCATGTCGTAAGAGTCGACTAATTAGGAGCTTCCTTTGAAGTCGGAGTGCATCTGCCTGAGAGGCAAGGAACCACCAGTCTGCATACAAATTAGTCAGATCTGTCAAACGGATGCACACGTAACACTCAGGTTCTGGAACGGGACTGCAGTCCAGAGGTGGGCGAACAAACAGAACTTTCCGCCGGAGTTTACAGCCGGTGAACACGAAGAAGACGAAGAAGAAGAAGAAACCTGTTTCATCTGCCTGTCTGTTTGTCGGTATGTGCAAACAAAGAAGAAACAATGCAACTTAGATGGAAAAAGTAGTTTGCACTGGTTTTTACACGATAACAAATGCAATCACCGATTTACAATTTCGGGCAATTGAAAGGTCGTGGATTCAGGTTCTGACCAAACCAGACTTTTTTTTTTCGAAAATGACCTTGGCTCCCAGGTCGACTCAGTCTTCAGTGGGTACCAGGTAAAGTCCAGGGAAGTGAAGGCAGCTGTCGAGATGCCGACCACATCACCCACAAGGTGCGGGTTGGTCTATAAAATATAATAATAATAATAATAATAATAATAATAATAATAATAAGAAGAAGAAGAAGAAGAAGAAGAAGAAGAAGAAGAAGAAGAAGAAGAAGAAGAAGAAGAAGAAGAAGAAGAAGAAGAAGAAGAAGAAGAAGAAGAAGAAGAAGAAGAAGAAGAAGAAGAAGAAGAAGAAGAAGAAGAAGAAGAAGAAGAAGAAGAAGAAGAAGAGAAGAAGAAGAAGAAGAAGAAGAAAAAAAGAAGAAGAAGAAGAAGAAGAAGAAGAAGAAGAAGAAGAAGAAGAAGAAGAAGAAGAAGAAGAAGAAGAAGAAGAAGAAGAAGAAGAAGAAGAAGAAGAAGAAGAAGAAGAAGAAGAAGAAGAAGAAGAAGTTTAGCCCTTTACACCCGTTACTCGTGAATGCGTGGAAAGGGGTCCTCCACTTTTCTTACAATGTCAGTCGCAGACAATAGCTGGCTCAAGATTAAATACTAAAAATGGTTTTTGAAACAAACGCGCAGGATAAAACGGAATGGAAAAATTAAATGTGAGTCCTGTGTGTCGTATAAAGACACAACAGCTTGATAATAATAATGAGTGTCAACTGACATAATTTAAGTTTCTCAGATCATGACAAGTTTTATGTCAGCAAAGTGGAATTTGTCAGCTAAAGAAAATAGTCATTTAGGTCCTTTTCTTTAACGTAATAGAAAAAAAAATAACTTCTTGTATTTTTCTTCAAATAAGATCTGACGCCCGTGTATATTGTTGCACACTTAAAACATCCCTTGACAGTTGGAAATCGAAAAGAGTAGCCTAACGGCGCTGCCTGGGCAAAATTTCGAATTAAAAATCTACCCAAAGTATTTCAGGATCCTCGCCGGTGCTACAGAGCCTGTGTACTGTGCTGAGCTTCTTCGGACTCAGACTTGGGTTATAAGAAGAATGGAGTACTTATGGGTTACTACCTGTGTGCCACAAAATCTAGCATGAGAATGGAGGTGGAGGCGGTAACTGCAGCTCTCCGGTGGCTAGAGAACAAGATGCATACACATGTCGTAATTTTAACAGACTCTGAAAGCATGCTGAAAAGGGTGAGGACAGGGATGCTTCGAGCAGAGTAGCAAGCTTCACTGGAAAGGTCACGGGTAGTGAGCATACTTTGGATCTTTTCTCCAGGCCATGCCGGCGTTGTGGGCAATGAACAGGCAGACATATTGGGTGGATCCGCACCACTGGGTGATGAATTGATACATGACAACGGAATCAGTAGAGAAAGAAGATTATTATGGCCTAGAGGGAATGAGGCACCTGGGTTTAACCAGAGGGTCTGGCCGATTCACTACACTCAGAGGAAAGGCAAGACGGACTTTTAACCAGATTGTGACCGGTACCATCAGTATCTGAACTCTGCGCTGGCTGCTGAAGATGAGGACGGAGCATGCATGGGAATGCCCCGAGTTCTGGGATGTCAATTCTGGACTCACCTCAACTCAACTAAACTACCCGTGTGCCATGATGTTGATCCGTTGTTCGAAAACATCAAATAAGCCTCGAATGTGTACTGATCTGGGACGTTTATTTACATTCGTTTACTTAGCCATTCTGTGCTTGCTTATTTACAAGGCATCTGGTATGAGAAAGCTGAAAGCTTTAGTGCGCACACAGTTGAGTTTTGAAACTTACTACCTTTACTGCACACCGATACCGTCACAGGTGCCTCAGTCTCAGCTAGTAGAGCACACACGGAGATTATCATGCAAGTGTTACTGACAAAGATTTAAATTTGTACAGTCAACTCTTGAAAAAGTGTCTAACCAAATCGGACATAATGGGAATAGGGAGAAAATTCAAAGAAACTAGTGGTACTTTAATTGTATACGACCACATCTCGTCAGCTTCAAGATGTGGTAGGGAAATCCCCAGAAGGTGCCATATTATGGAGGGGAAAGGGTGTTATGGTTAGTAGTAGTCGCTACTCATTTAACACTTGTCCTAACTGTACGCCCCGCCCTAATAATATGGTATTGTCCAGGGAAACCCTTAAGGATCCCTAGAAATTCCCTACGAAATCTCGAAGCCGCACACACGAAATTACATTCACGACAAAATTAACTTACAACAATTATGTATAAATTTAAGAAAGGTGAAAACAAAAATGAACATAATTTAAAAAAAAAAATTATAACGTCACCTCCCCAAGTAAAATCATACATATATTAAGGCAGCGATGCAGATAAAGATGTGGAAACAGAATGATCTTATACCAAAATACTAATCACAAGAATAGCTTTCATAGCACCGAGAAATCTTTGGAAGTCAAAGAAATTAATCCTAATACGAAATTTACAAAGTTAACCCGAAAGCCCAAACAGTACTTTTGTATTAATCAGGGGAAAAAAAACGAAAAAACAAAACAAAACTGAAACAATTCCTAATAACTGTATTTATTCACTGATTCCCTGCACAGAATAGAAGAGTAAAATGGTATAGCAAAATCACTAGTATGTTGCTTAGGTAGAATACACATTAAGAGAACGTGTATAACTTGTTAAGTTATTTCTCTAAAAACCACGGGACACAATTAAAAACTGGAAGACCTAAAATTACTCGTAAAAAGAGTGTTAGAGTAGCTCAAAAAATAAATGGTGGACTATAGGTGGAACTTCTCTCTCTCTCTCTCTCTCTCTCTCTCTCTCTCTCTCTCTCTCTCTCTCTCTCTCTCTCAATATATATATATATATATATATATATATATATATATATATATATATATATATAGGAAGACGTGTGCTCTGATCGAGGGTAAATGCTCCAAGGAAAAATGAAAGAAGGGGCAGATACCAGAAACATTGATTACAACGACAGAAGGTGTTAGAATAGATTTCGATTGCCACATCTATGATTACCTTCAATCAAAGCTTTATGTTTATTTTGTTTCCGACGTAAATTTTATGCAGACAGTAAATTTTTGTTACCAGAAACCGTTAGTCAATGTATCCAAATCACGTAGTTTGGAAGTTCTGTAGACGGATGTATATTTAACACCCTTTGGACTCGTATTTGCTTTTTCTATTGCTCATCATCAACATCATCTTCATTATCACCATCACCATACTCTTCGAAACTCTCTCTCTCTCTCTCTCTCTCTCTCTCTCTCTCTCTCTCTCTCTCTCTCTCTCTCTCTCTCTAATCA